ATAACACTTAGAATTAAGAAAGGCATTAATTCTGGAGTTCCAGAGCAAGTGTTAAATTTAATTCCTATGATAGGTCCACTTCATGTCTCTTTAAACAGCAGAGAAATACTATTTCAAACATATCATTTCTTTTTTGAGATGCTATATCATAACTTATTTGGAGATAAAAAAATATTATCTCAAAAACCAAAACAAACAGTAATCAATCTTATTTTACATTTAACTTATCATGGATGGAAAAATATTCGTGATATTGTTACAAAAAGATTTGGAAATTTAAAAGATGCAGAATATCAAATGATGATAGATTTATTAGATAATTCTATTCCACTTACTTTGGATATATATGCAATACTTTTTAGAAGTGGATTTTTTGAAGGATATTTAGAAAGTACTGTAAAAATTTGGATATTATTTCAAAGATTGAGAAGACATAATTATAATAAAGCACCACTTATGTTTTTAAGTGATGTATTTTATTGGACTTCAAAAAATCATCCAATAATTAATATTTTAAAAAATAATTTACCAATTTTTAATGATTATTTTGTTGAAAATTTTCATAGCTCTTTAAGGCATCAAACAGCAGAATCAAATTCAGAGTTACAAATTATACAAAAAGCAAAAATTATTGATGCTGAAAGAAATAATAATCCTTTTAAAAATTCTTTTGTTAATTTGAGAAATCCAGCTAAGTCTCAAATTAAAGAATTAAAATCTTTAGAAAAAAAGGTTTCATTATTTTTATTCTCAATATTTGATAAGATTCATCAGAATATAGGAAATACAAAACAAATTAATAATGATAGATATCCAAAATTTTATCTTCCAAGTTTTGATATTGAAGTGGATGTAAAGGTACTTCCTTTAGGCTGGAATACACAAAAAATACCAGCAGATGATAAATTTTGTGATGCAAATAATTGTTTATTATCAAATAGTATAGATTTATCTAATGGAATTGTTTTACTTTGTGGACACAGTTTTCATAAAGAATGTTTAAGTACTTTATATGATGATAAATGTAATTTTTGTTTTGATTATTTATCATCTGGAATTGAGAAAAATATTAAGAGTTTGGATCAAAGATTGTCGACATCATTAAAAGAAAATGAAATCCCTTTATTTGAAAAGGAAAATAATAATGATGATGAAAATGATGAAGAAGAGAATATTGAAAACATATTAGAAAGAACAGAATGTGATGTAGAAAATCAATATGATATAATGTATCAACAATGGTTAAATTATAATGATATATAATTAGTATTAATATAATAATTTTTATTAAATTGCAAAAGTCACTTTATTGAAATTTTTTAATAATAAAAATTAATATTTTATTTTGATTAATGAAAATTAATGAATTATAATTGTATAATTACTCCAACTAATAAGATAAATTATATAATAAAATAATTAGAAGATTCCGAATGCAAATATCTCAAGATATATAACTCCAAATTTTGTAAAATAAAGATGATCGGATTCATCAAGTCCTAAGCTTTCTAACAAGCTAAAAATCATAAAATTCTGATCACTGGATGCTGAGATAACTGAGATTAACTTTAAAAAAAATCTAATATTAAATGTGATATGATAAAATAGTGATCAACAAATGATCGGCAAATGATCGGCAAAATTGTGATAAAATAGGGATGTCCGCTATGCTTATCACGATATAGTCAATAAAATATGCAATAATGATTGGCTAGTTGTCACGTGCCGGAATAAAATTGTTAAAAATCATAAAAATTCCGTTTTATTCCATAATACAGCAAAAATTCTGATTTATTCATTTATTATAAAAATGGAATTTTCCCGGGTCTCTGAGTCATGTGGATAGTTTTGCTTCGCACGTGACATTGTGCAACAAAAAAACTTTAAATTGCACTTCGGACTTAATAACGGTTTCCGTTTCCTAGTTATTTTAAAGGCGAAAAAAATTCTTTTCAAATGATCGACATTAGAGGTGCAAACTTAACTCATTCGTCCATACATAATTATATGGTTACTTACCTAATTACGTCATAGTTACGCAAATAAGTTTGCACCTCTAATCGACATACTATAAAATAATTGTGCGACAATATCGGAGCACAACTCCGAAAATGAATTTAATTAGCCTTTTTTTGAACACAAAACCTAGCGCCCTCTCCTCTCTCTCTCACTTTCACTTAACGTTAAATATGGCGTGCTCAAAAATATTTTTGGGAGAATTACCCGAATTATTGAGCGAAATTATACAATACTTTCGAAGTGATTTCTCAACATTACATTCGTGTAGTTTAGTCAGCAGATTATGGTGTCGTTTGGCGATTCCATTATTGTGGGAAAATCCATTTTCAATTATTCCCAATAAAAATTATTACTCTATTGAATATCATAAAATTCGTTTTATTGAAACTTATTTAGTCAAGTTAAATGACAATGATAAAATAAAATTATATGAATTCGGTATAAACAATTTGACTCCAAATACACTATTTAATTATCCCAGTTTTATTCAATATTTAGATACACGTTTGATTAGTGTTTTTATTGAAAAATGGGTTGTAGCTGTTAAAAAAAATGAAAACCCTTCATTTACCTTAATCAGAAATACACAAAATTTAGATTTCATAAAATTCATTTATAAGTCATTAATTAAGATATTCATTGAAAATGAAGCAATCATACATACTTTTGATGTTAAGAATCGTCATAAATATTTCGATGTTATTTCTGAATTAGTTTTACAAAGTTCAAATTTCATTTGTAATATCAAAAATCTTTATCTTGAACCTTATTACTCATTTAAAATTGGTAATATAAACCCTTTATTAAAATTTCTAAGTTCTAATTGCAATTCAATTTCATCGCTCTATATTCCAAGTTTTAATAAACATAAAGATAGTAATACGCTTATTGAATATTTATCACAATTATCACAATTAATTAAATCACAAAAAAATCTTTCCAAAATTTTATTTTTTTATGATTTTCCTCATTTAACGTTATTAAATTCTAATTGTTTGAATACTTTAACCACTATTATATTTTACAACATCGATTTTAAAAATGTAAATTTCTTAAATGAAGTATTTGAACAATTAAATGTTTTAGAATCTATTCACATTATTTATTGTTTTTCTCTGGATTTTAATTTTATTCAACAAATAATTAATTTAACCAAACCATTTAAATTAAAATCTTTATTTGTGAGTGAAGCATTTGTGTCAATAGATTTATTATTACAAAAATCTGGCGATTATTTAGAAAATTTTGGATTTAAGTCATTTAAAATTTATGATGATGAATCAGAATCACAACTACTTGAATTAATTACAAAATATTGTAAGAAAATTAAATTCTTTGAATTATGTGAATTTGATAGTCAGAATATTTATCCAGCAATTAATTTAATCAAAAATATTCAACAAAATCTTAATTATCTTACTATTGATTTAGATTATGATTTTGGAACATATTTTTGTAATAGTGATGCCGAAATTAGTTCAATTGTACTTCAAAATTTAGGACAAATTCTTCCTCCTAAATTAGAATATTTGAATATGTCTCTTGTTATAAATACAAATGATTTTGTAATATTTTTGAAAAATTCTCATAATACTTTTATCAAGAAATTAATATTTAGTAATATAATAAATGGAATACGAGAAGAAGCTGGACAAGATGATATGTTATATAATATAAAAGAATATATTATGAAAAAGAAAAGAGTCAAATACTTCGCTTTTCAAAACCTTTTCATTATTAACGATGATCATGAAGAATTGTTTTATTTGAAAGATGAAGTAAAGGAATTTAAATTACATGATATAATAGTAAAAAATTATAATGATTTGAAAATTGGTGAATTTATCGAATTTTTAAAAGAAGAGATTAATTAGATTAATTATTAATGGTTAATATGTGGTAAATTTATATAATAAAGATATTTTATTCGGTTTTTATACAGTATATAATAAAGCTGCAACCCAATCAAAATTTAAATCTAAAAAAGTGATTCGTCCAGATAATTTAATAGGTAATCCTGACCACTATTGGAATCGATTGTAATTATTAATTAAAAGCTTATTTTATTAATTATTATAAGTTAACGTCAGCATGACTAAGATGAAATTAGCAAGTTTTTCTTGACTATTTTTTTTTAACGTTTAGGCGGCCGCAACGTTACATTATTTTCGATATTAGATATATTTAGGAAGATTTTTGACAACTCTCTGATTAATATTGCTTGCTTACTACTATATATACCTAAAATATAATTTATATCACAAAAAGAAAAAACGACATTAAACATTTTTTTATTTTTTTTAAAAAAAAGTAAAATATCTTGGCGCTTTCATTGATCGATGATCTTTTTTTTTTGGGTATGAAGTGAAACAAGTTAATCTTTGGATCATTTATAAAATGTATTTATAGGTGGTATCACGTGGGGTAAAATTAACATGGGCATGATATCACGCATTAGAAATGATTTGTAACTTCATGTAAAGTAGTGGTATATGGTAAACCTACGAAATACATATAAATTTACTTCAATGATCAAAGATTTTTCACTAATTTCTAAATGACTATTAGCGTCCTTGCAAGCAGTAATCAGTCTTAATTTCATATTTCTATATAATTAAAAAAAATTCGCGTGTATACCATATATCATATGTTAATATTGGTGGTATAAGTGGAGTAATCAACAAAATATTTATCGAAAGGGCTTGTGAACATAAAAAAAAAATCTGACACTGTAATTATATTAGAAACCACCATGAAAGATCGCTAGATTGTCTGATTTTCCGAAATAATCATCATCTCTTACTAAGTTCTCCAAATCCGAAATTAATTTGATCGATTAGTTACTACTAACTCGACAGTAATTAGAAGTCATGACATGTACAGTAATAACATGTGAAAAATACCGCAAATTTCAATATATGGATACACGGGAATCAGAATCAAATTTCATTCAAACCATATTCAATCACTACTAAAAGTCTTCTATCTCTTTTACCATAATCATTAGCAATCATTCGTTTAGTAACTTTTACGCCGCTTACTAAAGGTAAAGTAAACTTTTAATAATTATAATAAATAAAATCGTTTATGATAATAATAATCTTATATGGCAATCATTCACGTATGGATACATAACAGGGTAACGGTTGGTACATCTACTACGGTTACAGCTACCAAAGAAAATAGAACTGGGATAATATAATCGCTCAGAATAGTAAATTTGCTCACGATGGTTATAGTTTAACTATTCCTGATGATATTCAAAACATATTGGCCTGCTTTCGAAGTGCATATGTCTACTGAACACGATAAATGGCGCGGTACATTCCAAAATGATGGGGATAAATGTTGGCACTTTCATGATCATCTTAATAGTTGGGAAATATGGGGATGTTAAAATGCTACGAGATGTAATGGACGTTATTCCAGGCGCGGTGAGATTGATCATACATATTTTTTTAATATGCAACAAGTTAATGTTGAACTTTAAAGGGTGCTAATGTAAAGGGGGCTTGGATAAATTTATTTATTACGTCACCACTCTTACCACCACTTCGCTACGCAGTCACGTGATGATAACAGAATAACGTGTAAATCAGAACTTAATGAATAATTATAAAGTTTATACATTAAAAATGAATAGTAATAAAATAACAATGAAAAATAAATAATGATAAGGAATATCATAAAAGAAATAAATAATGATAAGGAATATCATAAAAGAAATAAATAAGCGATTTGTAATATATTTGAAAACTAAACAATATCCATAATATTGCTGTCCTCCCTGCAATATTACCAATAGCAAAACTAAAACTAAAACATGTTAAGTTATCGTTTCTGTAATTCTGTAAGTTACTATATGTGTAAGCTATACAAGCTATACAAATGTATGCCGAATTTCTACACCATCGACAAATGATCCGCGTAACATCACATATGATTATCGATCATTTTTCTATTTGATATTTATAACAATCAAAGATCACTTGACCAGTTATTGTTTAAAAAGTAAATCCTAACCCAATTGATCTAACAATATTTATATAATATTTTTCTTTTGCTGAAAATATGGAATAGCGAAATTTTACAAATTAACACTGGTCTTAATGTCTAAAAATAATACTTTATTTGCAATTACTGTAATTACTGTTCCAATTTTACAATTTTACTTAATTAACTGTCAAGGTTATTTGCTATAAACTAAATTTTGAGGGCCAATAGAATACAAAATATATAATTGTCCAATAGTCATATTGTGTAGAATGTACTTTTAGAAATTTATGATTTATACTGCTTAAATTTTGTTACTTTCGCAATCTTTCTCTTATAATAAACCTAATTTATTCAATTAAATAAAGAAAGTTAGAAACAGTTTAATAAATATTGTGTTTTATAAAAGCCTATGTAAATTATTGTTGTAAAGGATTTTATTGTCTTATATTATTATCATCATACAAAATATCATTTGCATCAGAAATATTAGTTATACTTGATTGTGGTGGAACTGTAACCATTAAACCTTCTTGTTGTTGCGTAGCTGTAGCAGAAATCGGTGTGTGTATTGAATTCATATTTAAATTATCAAATTATAAAACTATTCATGGCGTCAGTTGTAGAAGTCGAAGTCGCTCTAGGTTTAGCTAATTTATCCCGAATACCATTTAAATAGTGTACATGAATAACATTTTCTTGTAAAAATAATTCAAAACTATCAATTCTTGTTAAAATCAAGTCATTTTGTTCAGCTAAAGAAAGAGCTTGTTTTGAAGGACGATTTTTAATATCAGGATTTATTGTATTAAAGAATGGAATAGTTGATAAAGTAAGTTGTAAGTTTTTTTGTGTTGAGAAAATCCGCAGCAATATGATTGTACAACTCCCATGGTCGTGACGTGTTCGCGCCTATAAAGAAATAAGGTTTATATAACACATATATTTATAATTTTTTATGATATAGAATATTAAACTTACCAAAAAGCAATGCGTATACTGCTGCTGCTAATCCCCATGCACCACCTATTAAACCTACACCACCTAAGTACTGTATATGATTGAATTTCAATTTAATTAATGGAACTCTTAAATATTGATAAATAAAACAAAATATTACTCACTGTATGATTTCTTTTTGAGAAGAGATTATTAATATATAATTAACTGCTAGTAAAATAATGATTTACGAACAATCATACAAATCATAATGATACTCATCTAACTTCTTTGTTTATTTGAACGGTATTACCCATAAATAATTACCGTATTGTTACCCATATTATTCGCCGGTAACAAAATTAAAATTAAAATTAAAAATTTAGAAAACAATTTTAGCAACAAAAACTTACATAAAGTATGATTTATTTTCATAAATAGGAGGAATACCAAAATCATTCATCCAACTTGATCTTATAAACTCCTCAAAAAAAGAGTTCGTTAAAATCTCTGATTTTATAATAGTTAAAGTGGTAATAAATTATACCTGATTTAGAACCAAAGCATACATGTTTATCGTAATAATTGAATTATCATAACTTAAAGTTCATTCAATAGCTTCTGGAGTAGTTGATTCATAATATCTCTTTTCCTTATAATATTTAGTAAGAGGATCATAATATAAATTTATTTATAAATACTATCAAATATTTTACTTACATATAATAACTTTAGGTCCAGGACATCGGACTCCACTTCGAAGGTTTTACTTTAATAACTTTACCTGAATCGAAAGCCGTTATCGCTTGAACCGGTTGATCAGGAGTGTAATTATCATCATTAACTACAAGTACCATAATTATTAAATCAATCATCTCATCTGGTTCATTATATTCATAAAAGAAGACACCTGGTGATGGTTGGTAAAATCCCAAATAAAGTTGGGATGGCCCATAAGTTTCATCAGGGTGAGTTATATCTGACTTATAATCTACATGAGTAGATTGCGTAGCATTAATTTCTAAGAGTTTTTTTAAAAAAAATTGTAAATATAATTAAATTTAATTAAAAGTATAATGAACTTACTAATATGATTTTCAAGACAGGTTATTATCGTGAAATTATAGTCAGATTTAAAAATAAACCCTAAAAAATTTTACCATCCAATCATTATAATGACTCATGTAACGAAAAAAAATTGTCAAATAAATTCGTTAATTACTTGGAGGGCGAATAGCATCAAAATCAACAAAAGAAGTTTTGATAATTGGAGTATCTTGGACTACATCAATTATTAAAATAGAGATAACCTGTTAAACAAGTTCAAGTATAATCATCATAAGACGTTTTAATACTAAGGGAGTCGTAGGTTCACTACGGCGTCCAAAAAAGGGTCTCATGGTAATGTACATTCGGACTAATAGCACCCTTACATGCAGGCCTTTCACATATACCATTTCTACCAAATTTCAATTCCCTAATTTCTCAATTCTGTCGATCCGCTTAACTTTTCAAATTTTGCTGATCATCTTAATTTCTTAATTCGCAGATCTCCCCACTCCCCAGAGCTGGAATCAATGATCATGTGTGTGATGATGATCATTTCCGCTGGAGCATGTGAGTAGGTTCAATTACCACGAGTCGTTAACAAATATACTCTATTCTATTGAGCTAAATCTTAGAATCAAATTTCGATAGTCTCCCCTCATATGTAAATTCTATCAACCCTTAAATTAATTAAGGTGGCACTTTTTCATCATAAGAAAAAGGCAAAAAGAATCGAAAAATAATATAATGGGTAAAAATAGGAAAATATAACTTTTTCTTGAAATGGTCGAAATAATCGTCTTTTTATAATCCTCTTCATTTTCCTTACCTGAATAATCTATTCTAAGATGTGGCTGTGATATAATTACTTGTCGATCAAAATAGTAAAATATAGATGTGGCTGTGGCTGTGAGCCTGTGATATTTTTTTTTTTTTTGTTAGTAACGCATTTTTTATTTAATTATTTAAACCACAGGGGTTAAATACACATAAAAATACCTAGAACCATTAATAAAAACTCATTAATGACTCTATAACTAACCCTAATCTAACTAAAGGTCGTCAAGTTACTAAACTAAATAATTTTATATTTTCTTAATTTTTTTAATATTTTCCTATGTTTTCTAATTTTTCTAAAATTATTGTTATATCATTCCTATGCCAAAAACATTGATAAAAGAAATAACTATATATAATAAAAAACAAATTAATCTACCTCAAATACTTGCGTTAAAAAGAAAACCAAAAAATTAATACATTTTAAAAAACCAAAGCCCATAAATCTACGCTCTTGATGAAAACGTATCCGAAAGACGTCCGAAAATTCTCCACTCGTCCGCGCATATTCTTCTACCGTTCCCAAACGCAAATATCATAAATCTTGTCTTTAATTTTGTTTAATTATCGCACGATATGATTATTGTCTATCGTCATCAGAGTCCTCTCTGGTACCCTGATGTGTCACTATGTATTTCTTGTTTTCATTTAAAACATTACTTTCCTTACTAATAACTGAACTCGTTCTGCTGAATTGTTGCTAAATTTGCCCATTCTCTCACTAAATTCACTATTCAAATTATGAAAATTTTCGTGTTCTTCTTTACTCCTAGGTATCGTCGATACTGCTGATATTTTGGGATTTGTCAATGCATCCTCAAATTGTTCGTCTTCCGATGAAAGAAGCGCATTGCCACTTTTTGCGTTCCCATAATATCGTTTTTTGAAAACACCGTTCGTTCCTATAAGCCATCTTGTCCTATCATTAGCAAACCTTTACCAATGTATATATGTGGCTGTGATATAATTTTTTGTCGATCAAAATAATAAAATAATAGATGTGGCTGTGGCTGTGATATAATTTCTTGTCGATCAAAAATTAATAAAGATAAAAATTAAAATATGACGAACTAAACATTAAGTTTATACTCATGTCCTGGAGATCACTACATACTGCGCCCTACAATTAATAAATTCACTAGATAATTCTGGCATTATACACCGGTAAAAATTTTTTACGCGAAATCACGTGACTTCGGTAGAAAACAATCTTTCTCCCCTCCACTCTCCGCTTTATTGATCCCTGGCTTCCACTATCCAGCGTTTCGTGCGTTTTTTCACCGGAGGGCTATTCTTAACTCTCTTGTCTCCTGTTTCCTTTTTGTCCGTCGCTCCGTTTTCATCCTTTAGACACTTCGTGAATCTTCGTTTAGCGTCGTGTATTACCTCAATATTTCACTTTGTTCCGCCAACGAGATTATTTTGCGTCAAAAAACGATGAAATTATCAGTATCCTTTGTCCACTCCTTGATCTCCCCTACGTCCTTTAAACCATTTGCTTGTCCTAGGCAATCCTTCTAATCTCTTCCCATTCCATGTAGCTTGACGTCGTTTCAAAAATTTCCGCCAGTTCCTTCATCTTCTTAATGACCGCGCCGGAATCGTTGTCCGACTCTTTATATCAAACGTACTTAAATTTTTCGTCCGTCCTTAATTTATTAATGATGTCGACCACTTCTTCCGTCAGAACATTATCCCGTTTCAGAGAACTTTTCGATGATGAAGCCGAAGCGTCCGGTTTTTCTTCTTCTTCATCTTCTGTATCTGAATTGTTGTCCGCTTCGTCCATTCTCCATTGCTTGATTAAGCCGACTACCTCATCCTCGTTGAATGTGTAGACCTTTCGGCTTTGTTTGCCACATTCATCCGCTACTTTGTCTAATCCTACGTATTGTCTAGATCCAGGAGTACAAGGTGAACTCTGACTTGTTGCATGTAGTGTTACTTCTTTTTGAGGCCGGGCTCCCTTTTTCGTAACCTCCTCTTTAATGCCTTTGATAATTGTCTTGAAATTTCTGACATATCCGAATCACGTCGTTCTCTGTCAACGTAGCTTCCATCATTTTAGAATATTTAAAATATGCTATGATCGTCCGATATTTTAAGGATCTTGGAAAACGCCATTGAATATTTGTTTTGGATCTTTTTTTGTGAATTCATAAATAATTCTTATTTACATCTTGTTTTAAGGCGAATTCTCGAACTGTAAAATAATTGTGATAACGTCATTTTTATTTTTTTTTAGGCCACCTTCATTGATTTGTGAAAATGGCAGCAATCCGGCGCTAATTTCCCCATCCAGTCGAAGAACTAAAAATTTACTTAAAGCTGCGTTGAATAACGGTTATCAGCTAAAAGTTTTACCATTTTTTTTGTTTCAGTCGATTAGTAATATACAGATATTAATACCGATATCTTCAATATTGAAATCGGTATTAGTATCATTAATTCCTATTGGTCACCGCAGCATTCCTGATGCATGATGAAGATCTGGAAATTCATTGCTCCGTGCCACGTGATTTTTAAGTCCGACAACTCCGAAAATGAATTTAATTAGCCTTTTTTTTGAACACAAAAACCTAACGCCCTCCCCCCCTTTCTCTTTCATTTAAATATGGCATGTTCAAAAATATTTTCGGGAGAATTACCCGAATTATTGAGCGAAATTATACAATACTTTCGAAATGATTTTTCAACATTACATTCGTGTATTTTAGTCAATAGATTATGGTGTCGTTTGGCGATTCCATTATTATGGGAAAATCCATTTTCGATTATTCCCAATAAAAATTATTTCTCTATTGAATATCATAAAATTCGTTTTATTGAAACTTATTTAGTCATGTTAAATGATAATGATAAAATAAAATTATATGAATTCGGTATAAACAATCCACTTCATTCAAATATACTATTTAATTATTCTAGCTTTATTCAATATTTAGATACACGTTTGGTTGGTGATTGTATTGAAAATTGGGTTTCATCCGTTAAAAAAAATGAAAAACCTTCATATATTTTTCTCAAAATTACACAAAATTTAGATTTCATAAAATTTGTTTATAAATCATTAATTAAAATGTTCATTGAAAATGAAGCAGTATTGCATACTTTTGACATTAAGATTCGTCAAAAATATTTTGATATTGTTTCTGAATTAGTTTTACAAAGTTCAAATTTCATTTGTAATATAAGAAATTTTTATCTTGAATCTTACCTATATGAAAATGATAATATAACCCCTTTATTAAAATTTTTAAATTCTAATTGTAATTCAATTTCATCGCTCTATATTTCAAGTTCATGTAATCATAAAGATAATAGTAAACTTATTGAATATTCATCACAATTATCACAATTAATTAAATCACAAAAAAATCTAAAAAAAATTTTTTTTCTTTATGATTTTCCTCATTCAACGTTATTAAATTCTAATTGTTTAAACACTTTAAACACTATTATATTATTTAACATCGATTTTAAAAATATAAATTTCTTAAATGAAATATTTGAACAATTAAATGTTTTAGAATCTATTCACATTATTTACTGTCGTTCTCTAGATTTTAATTTTATTCAACAAATAATTAATTTAACTAAACCATTTAAATTAAAATCCTTATTTGTGAATAAAATATTTGAGTCAATAGAATTATTATTACAAAAATCTGGCGATTATTTAGAAAATTTTGGATTCGGGTCATTTAAAATTTATGATGATGATGATGATGATGATGATGAATCAGAATCACAACTAATTGAATTAATTACAAAATATTGTAAGAAAATTAGATTCTTTGAATTATATGAATTCAATATTCAGAATATTTATCCATCATTCAATTTAATTAAAAATATTCAACAAAACCTTAATTATCTTACTATTGATTTAAATTATGATTTTGGAATGTGCTTTTGTGATAGTGATGCCGAAGTTAGTTCAATTGTACTTCGAAATTTAGGACAAATTCTTCCTCCTAAATTAGAATATTTGAATATGTCTCTTGTTATGAATACAAATGATTTTATAATATTTTTGCAAAATTCTCAAAATACTTTTATCAAGAAATTAATATTTAGTAATATAATAAATGGAACACGAGAAAAAGTTGGGCAAGATGATATGTTGTATTATATAAAAGAATATATCATGAAAAAGAGAAGAGTTAAATACTTTGCTTTTCTAAACCTTTTCACAGATAATTATGATAAAGAAGAATTGTATGATTTGAAAGATGAAGTAAAGGAATTTAAATTACATGATATAGTAGTCCAAAATTATAATGATTTGAGAATTAGTAGATTTATCGAATTTTTAAAAGAATATTAGTTATTAATAGTAAATATGTGGTATATTTATATAACAAAATTATTTTATTTTTATACTTACTTATATATAAATAAAGCTGCAACTTAAATGTATTTCTTACTAAAAGATCGATTCGTCCAGATAATTTAATAGATAATTCTGACCATTATTGGAATCAATTGTAAAAAAGTTTATTTTCTTAAATTATATAAATAAAGGGATTACCAAATTGACAGTCATTTTACATAATTTCTTTATTATTAGGTAAATAAATTAATCTATTTCGAATTTTGATATAATGAATCACGTGATGTAAAGCCAATAGAATTCGCCAAACAAATCTAAAAATGATCATTGCAAAATTCCACAGACTTAAAATGCCAAATTATTCGAATGATAAATGACAAATGACCAAAGTAATTTGAGTACATAAATCCTTATAGTGTCTTGTCCGATGATCTTTCTGAGTCCAGTCACGTCAATTTTTAGCACAGTCATGTGAATTTGGGTCCGGATCATCGGACCACGCGGTCCAGTGATTCGCTTAAAATTACTTGGGTCCGATTGATTGATTATAAAGCTTGATCCCGATTTTTTTTTTTGCTGTTTCGCTTTATAATGAGTTATTATAAAAAAATTTTTTTTTTTTTACTGTTAAATATTTTGAGATAATGGTTTTAGTCGATGATATAGTATATATAAATTGCTAAGAACCTTTTGTTTCAATAAATTAAGATGCAATTAATTTTTGTTTTAAGTTTTTAAACATTTTATTGTATAAAAATGTTTATTTAAATCTACAATTAATAAAAAAATGAAATGTAGATCGGTCATGTAGATTTAGTTCAGTCCAATTGATCAAAATCATAGGACTCAGCACAGTTAACTCAGTCCGATGGTAGCGAAGTCCGATCAAAGTTTAAATTCGGTCTGCATCAAAATTCATATGACTTTGCTAAAAATTGACATGACTGGACTCAGAAAGATCATCGGACCGGACTCAGTTAAGATATACTCCATAAATCATATCAATCAATAACTGATAGTGAATTGGGAATAATGGACAAATGATTGGGCAAATTTTAGATGGCCCAATTACCACAAGAGTAAAAATTACACCATAATTACATAAGCAAATAAACTTATATTAACTTGTTGCCTTCGCTCTTGTTTTTCATCTTCAAGCTATGCGGACAACGTTGAAACCAATAATATCCAAAACACAGATGACCTTGTTACTGAGGAATATGACGCCAACACTTGGACCGCAAGTGAACCTATGTCACTTTTACCTACAGAAATTTATTGTGGGAACTCTCTTGACCCTGCCACCAGGAGTAAAATTTTTCAAACAGAACCACGCAATAGAGACATATCATCTACTCCCCTCAAAATGGAAATACGGGTGTTATCTGTCATGTCTCATGCAGACAAAGAAACCGACAGAAACTATAGTAAACTCTTATATAGAACCTCTTCCGTACTTAGACCGATCGACACGCTCGTATGGTTTATGCTTCAAAACCGTCTGATGTCTCACGAAAATTGGTAGAACATATTATGCCAACCCTATTCGCTTTGGTCTCTGAGAAAATTATATATGTATTGGCGTTTCTTGCGCTCCTGGTTGGATATTTCGGATAAACTACACTATTATTTAAAAAAAAGTGTATTTAAACGAAAATATTCAGCTGAAAATAGTATATTCAAGATCAACATGAATTTTTTCCGGCTGGGTGTTGTTAGCCGAAAATTTACTGCGCCTTCGGCTGAATTCACCATTATTAATTTCATCGCCCTATATTCCAAGAGGTCGTGATAGTACGGTTATTGAATATTTATTACATTCATCGCAATTAATTAAATCACAAAAAAATCTTAACAAAATTTTATTTTTTAATGTATTTCCTCATTCAACGTCAACAGATTTATATAAAATAAAGAAATATTATTTTGTTATTATATATAATAAAAGTTGTGACTCCCGGACCAATTTTTATTTTAGTAGCAAACGTTTATATCTAATTAATTAAAATTTTATTCCTTCAAAGATTAATAACAAATATAATTTTATCTCTTATTATCGCTGTTTTAGAATTGAGTCATACTTGCACAAATTAAGATAAATTTTATGACAACAATAATTTGTAATCACATTAATTTTCAAATTCCTTTAATATCAGGTTAGTCAATTAGACAACTACAGTATATTCAATTTATGTTTTTCCGTATATGTATAGTAGCATATTCAAAAAAATTAATGATCATTTAGCAGACTTACGGTGTTTTTTACAGAAATTGTGAAGGTATTGCATTATGAAAATATACAAAATACTCGAATTCGTGGATCCCAATTACAATTTTATTCCTTATTACCAAGCCTCCTTTATAAAAAAAATCTTATAAAGATAACCATTGCCAAAAATAAAGCAAAAGTAAAATGTGAGTGGGTGAATTAAGTCTAATTAAATTATTCAGTTTATTATACACACAAATATGGATAATAATGATTTGTTTCGTTCAAATATTCTAGTTTTATTAAACAATTACAGTATACACATTTAAGGACATTTGTGTACGTTTTGTATATCTTTGAAATCCATGATCGGATCATTGTTATAATATTTATCATCTATATTATAGGATATATGATTCTATCCTTATTTACTTGAACAATTTTATCGACAATATAACAGATGTTGGTCAAATTATTCTTCGAACGTCCATAGCGTATATAGATAAGTGCTCGATCCAGTGGATGGAATGAAAACACAAATGGCACATAAACATCCGTTCAGGTTGATAACGCATCGTGAACTATATCACATTCATGCGAAACGAGTCATCCAAAAGAACCGACCTTTAATGAGCGAGAAGAAAAGTTTAAAAAGTTATTGTATTATGAGTAATATATATTAATAATTAAAATAAAATTATTTAATTATATTTATTTAGAATATTTATTATCGTTATTAAATTAATTATTACATCGAAAGTAAAGTACGTTTACTGCGTTGATATTTAACAATATTCTAAATTATTCGTATATATAGCCTCTATCACATAGCGTACGTTAAGGAATCAAGCTTCATCATCATCACAAGGCAACTGCAAAATTTCGTCACAAATGATCGACATACAGCAAATTAATTGTACGACAATATCGGAATCTTCACTCCGCAAATGGATTTAGTTTACTTGTTTTGAACACAAAAACATACGCCCCTTTTCCTCTCCACATTTAAAAAATATGGCATGTTCAAAAATATTTTCGGGAGATTTACCCGAATTAATAAGTGAAATTATACAATATTTTCGGAATGATTTATCAACATTACACTCATGCATTTTAGTTAATAGATTATGGTGTCGTTTGGCAATTCCTTTATTATGGGAAGACCCATTTTCAATGAAACCTCCTAAAAATTATATTATTGAAATTTACTTACACAATTTAAATGAAGATGATAAAACAAAATTAAGTGAACATGGAATTAATATGGAATTAATTCCTTCAAATACATTTTTCAATTATCCTAATTTTATTAAACGTTTAAATACATGGAAACTTATATGTTCTATTGAAAAATGGGTTTCAGCTGTTAAAACTTTAACAACTGAAGAACAATTTGCTAATTATTTTATGCCAGAAACGAATTTTTTATCTCCTTTATATCCACATTTTGAAAATATTACAAGTTTAATTTACAAATCATTATTTAAAATGTTTATTATTGATAATGAAATAAAATTAAACACTTTCGAAATTGAAATTATAACAGATAAAGATCATGATTATTTTAATGATGCTCTTGAATTAATTTTACAAAATTCGAATTTTATTTGTAATATCAAAATTTTAAAACTTTATTTGAGTGATACAATTATTTATCCTTTTTATTTTCAATATCCAATTAATGATAACGCATTAATTAAAAAACATCTTTCACAAATAATTAATTTACAACAAAATCTAAAGAAAATTTTATTTAGTTCCAATAATTTTTCTATATATAATTCCTTATTAAAAAATTCTAATTGTTCAAATACTTTAAATACAATTATTTTTTATTCTGTCAATTTTAAAAATATGACTGTTTTATATAAAATATTTGACCAATTAAATGTTTTAGAATCCATTCATATTCTTTATTGTTATTCTTTAGATACAGATTTTATACAACAAATTATTAATTTAACCAAACCATTTAAATTAAAATCATTATTTTTGGATGAAGTATTACAAATTGATCCATTAAAATCATTATTACAAAAATCTGGTGATTTTTTAGAAAATTTTGGTTTTGGTTATGGTTTAGGATTATATACAAGTAATGAATCAAAACAACAATTACTTGAATTAATTATAAAATATTGTACAAATATCAAATTTTTTGATTTACCCGGATTTGATGATCAAAATATTTATTCTGCATTTGAATTAATTAAAAATGTAGCACAAAATCTTAATTATCTTTCTATTGATTTTTGTAAATTATATGATTTTTATAATTATGATACTAAACTTAGTTCAATTGTATTAAGAAATTTGGGTCAAATTCTTCCTTTTAAATTAGAATATTTAAGTTTAACACTTATGATTAATACAAATGATTTTGAAATATTTTTAAAAAATTCTCAAAATACTTTTATTAAAAAATTATTAATTAGTAACAAAATGCAAGGAGGGATTGAAGTTATATTACCTTATATTAAGAAATATATTATGAAAAATAATAGTATTAAATATTTGGCTATTATGGAAACATTTTTTGAAAATACTACAGATATTATTTTTAAAAGTAAAGATTTGTTTTCTTTAATTTCATTGAAAGACGAGGTAAAGGAATTTGGTGAACATAATATTAAAGTTCAAAATTATTATGATTTACAAATTCAAGTTTGTGAATTTATAAAAGAAGTTGATTAATTAACAAAACAATATTTTAAATATTAAAATATATGTATAGAATTTTTATTTTAAATAAAATTATCTCTTTCTTTACTTTATAACTTATGTATTTATATTGCTAAAGTTCTTTCCATATTGTAAAGCATAAAAAACTGAACTTTCATTATAACATTCTATGATTTTATCATGAAAACAATTACACGAAATTAACCGGTGAGCAAAATTACATAATTTCTAGTCAAACCATTACTAGCTATAATTTTACTTTTTCATATATTTATCATTATTAAATTAGGAATTTAGAATATTTAACATTTTCATATATTAAATTTGGACGTACACATCACCTGGTAAATTGATTTATATCAAGCAGTATTATATGGTAATTGGATTTTCCCGATTTTCTCCATTTCAATCATCTAATAATACTTACTTGTTAAGTCTGACTTCTATATTAACTCGCGATTAAAAAACTCTTTTTTTAATCCAAATATATGATTTCTGTTTCGCCCAGTTTCTAAAACTTTCAGATTCATAATCGCTCCTGGTTATATAGATGATACCATTGAGCCAACTGGGCATTATAATATTAATAGCAGAAACTTTATGGCTATAATGGAATGATCCTTGATATTCGCAAAAAATATACATTCTGCTTGACGGGTCGAACTAATTTGAAAACAGAGATAATATTATGAAGAGAATCGATAACAATATAAACATTAATTTATCATGTTCAAACGTTTAATAAAACTAGGATAATTGAATAACGTATTCGAAGAAAATAAATTAATAATATATTTTATATTTTGTTTTATCAGATTAGGTAACGGGACCGTTGAAGCGTCCGAAGCGTCGATGAATTATTTAAAATATGTAACATCGAAACATCGAATAAATTTTTAAAATAGTAACATAGTAACGCGGTAGGCTAAAATGTTAAATTGTTACACACTTAAACTATTTTATAATAAATAAATTATTTACGCGTGCTACATAATTGTTACACCTAATCCTAAATTTTCATTGGTTATACGTGCGGCGTGACAGACGGACATTGCATGGTCTCGAGTCTAACTCGGACAATTTTGAATAAAATTAATTTATGTTCACTATTAAAGGTTGCAATTTTAGCAAATTTCATTGAAATGGATCTTCCCATAATAATGGGACTGTCAAACGACACTAGCTTAAATATAAAAGAAAATATAGTATTCGTATAAGTTCGGATGAAACTTCTGAAAATATTTTTGAGCATGCCATATTGAAGGGATTTTATTTATCTAAGGTTATGCCAAACTAGGAAAATGTATATCCAAATTCCGGAACTGTAGTTCCCATTATTCCACGTAATAGTGATGCACTCGTGTCGTAAGGCAAATTATAGCAATAAATATTAAGAATAATCATTTTCAGTAATAAAAAATTAACAGTTCGGACGGATGATCTAATGAATTTATCTATCCATTAGATTACTCGGCTACTTATGCAAATTTAAATTATAAAAAAAAAAAAAAATCACTAAATTAAATAGATCGTGAACTAAAGCTAGGCTCGAAACATGGCGCAACTTGAGCAGTTGAGCTCAGCTCGCTGAGCTAGTTTGCGAGCAAACTCGAACTGGCTCGGGTCGTACGATGCCCTAGTCATGATGCGTTCAGCAGTTAAATCCTTCCTCCCAAATTCATTTTAAAGAGCGTCTTCCAATTGACTATTCCAAAGTAAATGGAAATTATGCACGGCAACAACTTTTAAATCTATTAATATTTATTAACAATAATTTTATTTGAATAGTACGGTATACATGTATACATTATAATGTATACGTAACAAAAAGATAAATGTTGCACAGAAATTCAATCGGTGAGTCCATTCATAGATTAAATGTCTTCTTAAAATTTTAGTTTGCCTTCTTCTAGAATAAAGTATTTTTGTAACAAACATTTGGGGAAAGAAGCGCTTTTTTTTTTAAAAAAAAAAGATTAATTAAAGTCGCAGAAATATTCCCAACGAACCCAACTTAGATTGAATGTCCTAACAAAAGAAGAAAAAATTTGTGAACAAAACAATTTTTCTTTTTGTTTTATGTACGATTATTTGCAAGGACGAATTGAAAGAAATATTAACAAGAAATTTTTTTTCTTGAAGCGTCTTATATGAGTCATATACGAGTAGTACATTTGAGAATTGAGATTCGCATTTTTTATAGATCAATGTCGAGGAAAATAAATTCTATATAAAAGGGAATTCATTAGTTATATAAAACAACTCTTTAAAGAAATATTATCGTGCATAATATTCCAATAATTGATATGTCCTAAAATTGAAATTATTTTTTTATATATGAACGAAGTTATTATTCATTTAAAGGCGAATTAATTGTATAAAAAAAATAATAATGCTTTATTTATGTGATACAATATAAAGAAATACGTTATAAAGAAATAAAAAACAAAAGAAATAAATCCCTATAAAAAATATTTTTGCTAAAATATACTTAAAATAAACTTAAAATTTTATTTTATACTTAAAATATACTGAAATATGCAAAAATTAAATATCATTTAAGTATAATTTAAGTATATAATAATATACTTAAAATATTCTTATTTTAAGTATCCTTAAAATATACTGAAATAGGCAAAATTTAAATGTAAATTAAATATATTTTAAGTATATATTAAATACAATTTAATTCAAATTTTGCGAAAATTCAATTCAGTATATTTTAAGTATAAAATAAGAAAATTAAGTATATTTTAAAGAAAATTAAATATATTTTAAATATATTTTAAGTAAAATTTTTTTTTATAGGGAATATAAGAGAAATAAAAGAAAATAAAAGAAATAAATTAAAAAAAAAACTTTATTGTTGAAAATGAGTAAATTGAGCGTCTGAGACATCTGGAGAAGAATAATTTAAATAAGTATTATCTTGTTGAGGTAAAGTAGGTATGACGACAATTTTAAATCCAGGAATGTCAAAACTAAAGATTTCAGATTGAGAAGGGTGAATAGTAGTCATGTTAAATGAACCAAGTAGAGATGGAATGTTTTCGATAGGCCGCTGTGGCTCAGCATACTGCAGAGCATACGATGAGATAGTTGGGGTTGAAGCGATACTTTCATTAGAAATATTAGAAATGGACTGTTGTTGATCCGAGTAATTGGTGTTTGTATAAATTGTTGTGAAATTATTATCGGAAGAGTTAACATTCAAATCATTATAATTAATATTTGAAGAAGAATGTTCTGGTTGAACAGTAGATTGCAAATTACTGATTACAGTAAAAGTGGGATCATTTTGATTATTTTGTAAAGTATTTTGACTCATAGTTGAATTTTGAACGAGATTTATGAATTTATATTATAATTCGAAAGTTTTAACAAATACAACCAATTTTTTTTTTTTTTTTTGAAGGATGAAATTTTGGGTCATTTTATAACTGTTAGTATATATTTTTATTTTTATTTTTATTAATGGGTTCCAGTTAGAAACCTAACATGGACGCGATTATAAGTAGAAAATTACATATAAGTCAAAATTGACAAAAATACTAACTAAACTACACGCGAAAATAATCTACTCAAACCGGTGGGCAATTAACAGGAAGAAGGTATAATG